TTATGAGGATAAGCATCTGAGAGAGAGAACAAAACAGGTAAGAATATTTCAACTGCTTAAGCTAGTGTTTTTGATATCACTGGCTCCATTCAAGAAAACTCTTCCACCTCTAGTGGCATACTGCAAGTGACATTGTGTGCTTTACTTATTACTCTAACTTACTGTGAGGTACAGTTCCTGGGCTTTATCTCATTTGCAAAACTCAGTGCTTTGAGTATCTGGTGTATGTCTGAATAACTGAACTAGATGCTCAGGCTCATTCTGAGTGAACTGCCTTGGGTGTTATTAGTATTAATCGATCCTGCTGCCCAGTTGGGCTGTTAAACCCACATAGAGCACTTCCTCATTTGCTTGGTAATCCCTTCAGTTCCCATGAGAAGCTATACAAATATGGAAAAATTATTCTGGAAGTTTTACAGGCATCTACCAGAGCCTTTCTGAAAACAGTTGAAATATATTTCAGTTTTTTAGTCAGCAGCACTACTATTATCACAGATCCATAATGTAAATATGAAAATAATATAAGAAACTGTAAGTGGCAAATGAATAAGAGTGGGGTTTTGGTTTATTGTGGGTGTGTTGGGTTGTTTGTTTTTTTTATTTCCTCATTCAGATCACATGGATCTCATTTCTTCCTCTGGTTCAAGATAACGGAATCATAAAAGAGCATACAAATACATGATCATGCATGTATCTTACAACTTAGTTTTCTTCCTTTATAGATATATCAGATCTATGCCAAGAGGTCTCCTGAAGATGTTTACAGAATATTGCGATCCTTCAGCACAGACTACGTGATCCTAGAAGACAGCATTTGTTATGAAAGACGACACAGTAGAGGCTGTCGGTTGCGTGACCTACTAGATATAGCAAATGGTCATGTAAGTATCACATAGATTTATAAAGAAAATACATTTTGCTTAGCTTCTTGTTGAAGTTCTGTTATGACGTGGAGTAGCTTCAACCATTTCCACTTCATCATGGGTGTAAAGTAAAACCTGGAAGTAAAATCTGATGGAGTTTTTGGCCATGCTCAAAATTGCCATATTGAGCCCTCCTTGCATTTACCAGTATTTGATAAAATGCAGCCTGAACAAAATAAACAATAGCTTCCTGCTGAGCTTCAAGTTAGCACTATGCAAACAGTGCTCTCTTTCACAGGGTAAATCACTTCACAGCTTTGGTTCCCTTGGGGAAAGTAGACAATTGTATTACAATCTTGTTAGGGGAATTTTCAAGCTTTTCTAGAACTGACATGGAACCTGAGCAGACCATTTTATTCAAAGCAGGTATTTACCACTGACAAGTAAACCTTTTATCCATAGTAGAGACAATGGTACAGCAAATCTTACTCGTTCAACACAGTAAACAGAGTTAACAACTCTGACTAGTCTGACCCTCTGAATGTGTTGTCGAAGTTGTTTTTAGTTTCTTGTTATTTCTTATAACTGAATTTCACAAATCTGTTCAATTTCATTACAGATCATGGATGGTTTGGGAGAGAATGAACCAGATTTGAAGCCTTCGTTGTATCCTCGCTTCTGTGAGGAAATTAAAAAAAATCTGCCTTCTTATACTATACACTTCACTAGAGTGTTTCAAAACAAAACATTCCATGTTTACAAACTTGCTAAACATAAATAACATTACCAACAATGGCTTCAAGTTCAGTATTTTAATGCTAGGACCCACATGAGAAAATGCCGAATTTTACAAACATTTTACGTTTGTAAGACATTTTACACGGATGGTTTCTTGCTAATTACTGCAGTTCTTTTTTTATTTGTTTGGGTTTTTTTTAAAGACAGTTTTAGTTTTGATAATCTTTTTGATGTTGCCAAAATTTTCATAGATTCATAAATAAATGCTATCTGGGACCATTTTGATTATAAAATCTGACCTGCTGAATACATAGGATGTAAGTGTTTTCCAGCTGTAACCAGTTTAAAGACACACAAAACAAGCAGCATGCATGACCACTGCAGCCTGTGCAGATCTGCTCACTGCTGTGCTTTTTTACTACAAAATGATAGAAATTCAACAAAAGCAGGTCATGCTATTCTATACTGAATATGTAATATCTACGCGAGTCTTTAAAATGTTATAAAAAGAAAAAAAAACAGTTTAACCTTACAAATCTGATCTATTCTGACAGGTCTCGTATGCTCTTTCAGTGCCTCTCTTTTGAATTCATTGGGAATGTATACGGATATGAGTTTCCAAGTTTGTGAGTGTGATTGCAGAAATTGTCCTGCGTTTTTAGCGAGACAGAAACACACTATTTTGTAATGTGAAGCATTTGATGATGGAGTGTCGTATTTCTGATGAACACTGAGGTCGGAGCATGCTTGATACACGTTGCATGTATCCCTGTAAAATATCCTTTTAGAATGCTCAGGACAAACAAAGAACAAATTTCTCAGCTTGGACTCTTGTTCTATTTGCTCTATTTGCTCTCTGAACTACAGAGGATCTATTTTCCCCCCAACATGAATTCCATAAGTAGGGTACCAAAATTGAGCAGTGCCAACTTTACAAAAAAAAATTAACCCCTAAACTTGACAGGAACTTTCTGGTATTAGAGCTTTGATTTACTTTATTCCAGATGCAGAGCTGTCAATTCTGTCACAAAAATCACCGTATCCATGCCCTCTAGGCTAAGAGAAAGAATACAGTTACTTAAAATATATTTGGAAGATAAAATGAAGGCAGTCCTCAATCCTGAGATTTTGTGATTTGTTTGTAGCCTTTGTCTTTTTACCAGACTAGAACTTTGCAGACGGTATTGACTTTTTAAATGCTATGTAGATGATGTGTCACTTTTACTGTGTTTTAGCACTGCTTTGGTTTTATATTGAAATTAGAGATTAAGTCTAATTGGAAGTCTAACAGTACTCTCCAACTTTAATTAGATATCACTAGGATCATTTATTTCTTACGAAAAACAGAATTGTAATAATCAAGTGCCTCTAGGCCAATGTTGAATTAACATTTGAACACCTATAAGAGTGTTTGTGGCCTGTGCATATAACTCTGTTATAATAATTACCAATGCAATTAATTTCTAATGATGGGAAACTTAAAGTGCTACTGATAGCAAACTCCACTTAATTTAATCAAGATGTGTAATGAGATTAGCTTTCACAACTGAGTTGTGTTCCAATTCCAAATGATTTAAATGTTTTTCCTTTTCAGTTGTACAAAGGTAAATTACTGCAGAGATGGAGATAGTTCTGTCACATGCTCAAACAATTTTATATTCAGTAAATACTCATTAAACAATGTTGAACATCTCTCTGTACTTCCATGCTAACACAAAAGGAAAGCATACTTTAATCAGACTGTATTTAAATCAAACATTGACAGTGGCTAGGTTGTTAAACCGAGCAACTGAAACTCCTGAATAATTTCTGTTCTGTATCCCTTAATGAGGTTGGAGACCACTGCAGATTAACATAATACAATAATAAAACATTTTAATCAGTATTAAAACTTTAATTAGGCCTGTAATGATGCATGCCTGTTCTTTCTGAAAGCATGGGTCAGTGAATTCCTCAGTGAGTGGCTTACAGTAATTGAAAACAAGCACACGTAAGGGAAAGTATATCCAGACTGAACTGTCTTATTTTAAAAATGTGGTTGTATCTTTCTTTAAAGGTGCAGTAACTTTCTTCTGATTGAAATGAGAGATTTGAAGCTCCTGTGGTACCCAGGATTCTCACAATTTATTTGTCAGTAACAGCTGAAACTAGGAAGTCCAGACTATAAATATTTTTAAATAGATTCCTTTTCTTCAATAGCACAGCATCTAATTTAGCTAAAGAAGAAATTTAACCTTTTTGTAGAAAATACTAAGTGGTTTTGTTTTTAAAAAATATAAAGAACAAAAGCCAGGCATAAAACCCATGTCTCTCCCAATGCAGAGCTACCACATTAACACAACTTCTGCTCCTAATACAAACATCCCCCTAAATTAGCACAGAATTTGAATCATTAGATACCAGATATTTTTGAAAATTTTTGCATTTAGCAGCCATTAAGGCCAAGGTAGTTTGTGACACTTTTAAATAACTCCAGCAGTTTCTGTACCTGAATCACGTAAGAGAAGATGGAAGTGCACACTTAAATAACCACATAGTAGAGCAGTTAGAAGACCAATCTTACAACAGCAACGTAGAAAATGCCAAGAAACAAAAGCACCTACCAGTTCCAAGGAAAGGCACACTCATCAGCACAGCCCTCAGAAGCAGCAAGCAGCTGCTCTCCTGGTCGACTTTAAAGGCTTGCCAGCAGCAAGGCATGCTAGGGAGGCTGTTGGTCAAGGCATTGGGCTGGGACACAGGTGGTACAAAGGGCTACATTTTGTATTCCTGGAGGCTGGGTGTAAGTACTGAAGTACTAAAGACCTCCAGGAGGTATGTTTGTCTGGCTGATTTCTTCCACTTCTTGAGTCTTACTAATGAAATACTGCATTTAAATGTGCAATTTTTTTAATTTTTTGTTCTATGACTTTATCTGTTTCTGAACCACATTGTCCTGATGCACCTTATTTCCAAGTGGCTGTTGTGGCATCGTTGTTTCACATATTAAATGCGATGCACATCCAAGAATGCAATGCACTCACAAAAATCTTACAAATAATTGGCTATATGAATGACACCATCATGATTTCTTGTCTGCGTTATCTACTGTTAGGAAGGACTGCTAAGCTGTGCACTATCAATGGAATGGTAGGCACTGAATAACCTATTTTAGATCACAGAGACAAAATGTTATCATGTAGCCAAGATGTTTTTAGGGGAGAAAAGCCCTTAGGTCTGTAAGTATATTTTCATTTTGTGTTTCAAAGTTCCGTTGGTGTGATCTAACATATAGTTATTTTCTATGTTGTTGTAAAGGAATATGTGTACTAAATAAATTGTGTAATTTGAAAATCAGATATTTTGGTTTTTATGGTGGGATGGACTGAGAAAGTTGCTGTTATTTTTATTTCAGTCTGTACTAAGGGGAGAAAAGAATTTTCACAAGTTTCTACTTTTCTCAGGCATCTTCACATGTATAGTAGTACTCTTAGAAGGAGTTTTCTGAGAGTATTGTCACCAATGTTAAGTACAATTAATTAATGGAATGTAATCATAACATGCTGTGCTTGTGTGGATAGGATTCCATGTTCCAGAGAAGCAGGTTTCTCAAAACATCTTTATTCATCAACAGCACTCAGCAAGAAGGCGCACGCTATTCAAGTCTCCAGGAAATGGTCATGGCTGTTTTATTTTATTTTATTTTATTTTTTGTCATTTCAGCAAGTAAGAAATTGCTCAGCTTGCTCCTCCTCTCCTAACCCTGCTTCTTTCACAGCTGTGGTTTTTCTTCTAAGCATGTTAGCCAGTAGGTCAGACCTAAGGAACAATCAGCTTTCATATGGCTTGGCTACATGTTACATACTTGGAATGTTATGTTAAAAGGGAAAAAACACGAAGATTAATGCAGTTGGCAGGCAGATTAAATACTAATATCCACATGATTATTTAAATTTCAGACCTTTACAAATATACTAAATAAAACCTTCTTTACATGTTAAATTCTGTAAAGAATGTGGAAGAAGATTAATAGAAGTACCAGATTACTGAAAATCCAACTACCTAGGGACCTAGTGATGTTTATTTAAATTTTTTTCTCCCCCTCACTCATTGCAAAGCTTCCTGTTGGCAGGCCAGCTGGCCCTTGTTCTGGAGAGATGTTTCTGCTGTACTATGATAAGGGTTTTTGTAGAGGAACTGAAATTCTTGTGTCTTATATATGTGGAACAAGTGCTTTGAAAAACTGCATGGTAATTATAAGAACAACATGCAAATTAAGACATAAATTAATTGAACTAATTAGCAATCTCTAGAAACAAGGAAAGCAGGTCTTTAATAGAGCATGACAGCTCCAAATGAGTACATGCTGAGATTCTACATACATAAGTTCATGTAGCATTTGAAATGTTTTTTTCTGACCTTTTTGTTTCATTCTGTAAAAACCTTTGTCAAACTGCAGTTCCAAACAGATTAACTCTGAGTGTTTATTTATGATTTATTTACAAATCAGTACCATAGCTGGAATTGGGATAGCAGTAGTAGAGCAGCAACTTCAGTTCGGCTTTCAAATTGCCTCTTTGGGAATGGAAATGAGAGACTTCTCAACCTGAGCAACGCTGTGACTGAGCAACCTAGCTGCCCATGTGGTGACCTGGCTATAAAGTTCTCGTCTGGCTTGCTTTTACTCCACCCAAAGACCATTTAAGTACTTCATAGATGTCTAAGAGCTTCAATGGGACTGAGCTCTCCTTCTCACTACATCCTGTAGTCAAATTATTTGGGCACTTTCTTGGAAAGGTGAGCATGTTTGTAATTTTTCTGAGAAGCTCAGGGATTTGCTTAACTGCAATGAATTTGCTGTTCATGGCATTTTGTTTAAAATCTCAACTTGGCATTCATGCGAGAATGAAGATTACAGGATATGGAAGAAGAGGAAAGAAAATGACAGGAGTGTTTTGAGATGTATTGGATTTGTTGTCATTTGTCCTGCCTAATACACCTGGCGATCTGTTGCCATCTGCCTTTTGTACAGGTCCATGTCCTGTTCACATGGTGAATGTTAGGCTCAGAGTGACAGGGCACACTGTGTCTGCATCTCAGCTGCTGAATCCTAGCCTGAGAGTTGAATGTAGAGTGAGGCCTGTGAGGAGTACAGCATGAATAACTCTATTGCGTGCAAAGTTAATAATTTTATTCTTAGAATAACTGCAAGAAGTCTTTGTTTCTGAGAATAATACTGGCCTGTTGCCCCAGTCAGCTTGCAGCAGCCTGTATGGAAAACTCAGATGTAATGTCTGAGTTGAATACCCAGAGCTTGAGTCCACATGTCAGCTAGTAGCATCAGCTGCTTCCCTCAGCTCCCTCTGAGCCAGAAAAGGGTCCTTGAATGTGTCTGTAGAAGTGACTGATCAAAGCTGAGTGAGGAATAACTCAACAGGAGTCTAAACTTTAGTCGACCTTAAACACATGCAAGGAAGAGACATAAAATTCAGAAGGCTTATTTATTATTTATATGGTGCTTTAGGTATGCATGACACTGCACAGGCAAATAAAAAGACATTGTTTGCCCTAAAGAGCTTACAAGCTAAATTAAATTAAAAGCGACCAAAATGACATTATATCCATAGTGGCAAGAACACAAGGTGTGCAGATACAATTAATGCTGCTTGAGGAAGGGATAGTTTGTTGTTGTTCTTTGTTTGTTGTTTTTTGTGGTTTGTTTTTTTTTTGCATAGTTTCTATTTACTTCATTTTTCGTTCACTGTTTGTGACTGCACTGTAATGAACTATAGAATCTGACATACCTGACTTTTGACCATTACAAGACATTAGCCAGTGTTTCCCCACAGGTAGATGTATCAGGAAAACAATAATATAACTTGTATGCCATCTGTGAATCAAAATTACTAGGCATGGGTAAAAATAGCCTTTACCTTTTCCAGACAAAATGCCATGTTATCTGAAATGTGCAACCATTAGTTGAAACTGTCTCACAAACATGTGCAAGAACAAAATTCTGCATGAACATTTATCATTTGAAAATTTGCAAGTAAATCTAGCCTATAAAATAAAAATAAAAGCCAGACTTCCCCAAAGCAGCTACTGATTCAACTGCAAGCAAAACCATTGAATTTCTTCACTTTAAGTACCTCATTGTTTTACGCTTTCTTTCCTTTAGTTTTTCTCCCAAAAGTAAATGTTCAGAGCCCAACAGCTCCTACTATTAAATTAAGTGCAAATTGGTGCCCATTTGTGGGAAAGCTGTTTTGAAAATAAAAAATAAAAGAAGGAGGAAGGGCATTGGTACATGATCATTGAAAATAAGCAGCAAGAGCATGAAAAGCTGTCCTTCACACTCCCTTCCAAACACTTTGAAAAAAATACAGCTGGTATCTACCGATCTTCTGCATCCGTATGTGAGTAGAGTTCACTTAATTTCTCGAACTTTGGTCCCCACTCTTTAATGTTGTCATACACTATGGCCTCATCTGGCTCAGAAGAGCTCAAGGTACTGAGACCACTAGCGACTGAGCCTTCTCCTTCAGTGTGAAACACCTGCAGTGAGTCATGGGGAACAGCCTGGGGACCGTGGTCAGCATCTCGAACAACATCTGACACGTACTGTCCAAAGGCTCTGCTTGTAAAAGATGTTTGTATAGTCACCGATGTTCTGCTCTGCTCCTGCACGCTTGGAGATGCAGCACTAAAGAAGCTGTTCAGTTTTGTTGTTTTTACTTTCTTCTTGTAGAGGGAATAGGCTGGGCTGGTTTGAATAGACACCTGCAGTTCTGCCATGTTGTATGCATCCTGGAGTGAGAAACCATTCACATTACATTAACATTCTCTAGTGGTCCAACTTTTCATGTTTTAGTGAACAGAAAGAAGAATTTATTAACAAGTAAAGTCTGCACTGAGAGATCTTTGAGAAAACAAGGATAGCATTTGGAATAGCAGAAAAAATGCTATCTCCAGACTCCAAGAAGAAACAGCCTATACAGAATAGTCCACATTTTCAAGCCCATGGTGCTACAGCAGTACTCAGCAGAGAACCACAGCACCTCCTGAGCCATGAAAGCAGATATCAGCTGTTGGCTCTTTACTGCTAAACACACACTACCAGAACGTTAAAGATGCACACAGGATCACTTGCTTTGAGACAAATTAAAAATTGATAGGCACTTATCTACTTACAAAACATGAACCCTTGCATGCAAACCGTTGCAAATAACTGATCTATCAATTGCATTAATAAAACAATAGAACAAAGGTTAAGATCCTCAGCTGCAAAGGAAAAGCATAATACACGTTTTCATTATCATGGTGAGCCTCAGACCCTTTTAACAGTAATGTAGCACAGCAATCCTTACTTGGTCTTGTTCCCCACCCCCTTCTTCATCGTAGTTGAGGATATTTTCTCTGATGTCCTCCAAATCATCATGACGTGCAGCTGCACGGTGAACTGCTCCTTCCAGACCTTTATGGTACTTCCAGTGAGCCCACAAGAAGACAGCACTGAACAGAGCTGTGTAAACGCACAGGAGCAAGAAAACAGAATTCAGAATATATGCAGAAGTGCTGCAGTGTGACTAAGACATCAGCCACTCTACACAAGGACTACAGAACTGGTGCACAGTCAGAAGCACTAGGGCTGTAGTTTTGTATTTCTCAAGTGATTGATTTTGATTTTCTTCGGTGTAGTTACACATGAATATGAAAGACAGAAGACCTCCAGAGAGTATTTTGAACAACACCTTTAAAGTACAGCTTTGAAGTTGCTAACAAGTAACTGAGATTCTAAAAGCTGTGAAGCCAGCTAACTTCCCACGTTATCTGCAGTTCATATTTGCATGGCAAACATGGCAGACTCAGGGAAAGAGATGGTATTTCCAGTAGCTACAGATAAATTCAAAATAGCCCTCAATAAACTTTCATATTCTTACTACAACTTCTGAATTAAATAAAAATTGTGAAAGCTATGAGCAAAATCCTGTGTTCTTAACTCAGGCGAACCTTCACGAAACATGAATAAGAAGGACCAGCACATGTGGTCCTTCCTCAGCACTGAGATCCTTCTTTGGCTTTTCTTTCTGCGACCAAATACCAAAGCACAAAAATGGTTCTAGAAGCAAAAAGCAGCTGAGAGTTGTGTCACAACTGGTTAAGATGCAGGAGACTGCTCTTTCCAACCAAGTTCATTCCTATCACACAGCGTATTTCTGCTGGACTGAGAAATGTTTCATGATCAGTAGCATTTCAGACAGTGTGTGTTTGGTAGCATTTTTTCCTCATTCTCTTCAATTGCATTTGCTTCCAGTTACTATCTGAACAGTTCCTTAGGAATGAAGTGAAAATGTGCAAAAAATAGAATAGCAAAGATCTTCCATAGCTATTAAGTGTTATTCACTTAGCAGCATATGCACGTGGGGATGAGAAATGAGTTTCCTGATGGAGCTGAGACCACGGCAAAGAAGTGAAGGCAGTCAAGTTGCCAGTAGAAACTTTAGTTGAGCATGAGGATGAGATGATGACCAGGACAAGATGGATAAATGAGATCACCAGAGGTAGTACAATAAGTAGTTACCATAACTACCTAACAGTGCCAAAAAGCAAATGCAGATTGCAAACATGGAACTAAAGGTCAGGCCTGTGTCCTTGTGAAAGATCGCCAATGTGATTTCACAGTTACGTCCAGTATAGCCATCAGGGCAGTGGCATTGGAACTTGGTTGGTGACTGCGAGACGCAGGTACCATAGTTACAGGGCCTTTTTGCACATGCAGTGAGGACACACTGTCTGCCTGTGGCATTCTCCACAATCATGTGTCCTGGAGGGCAACTGAAAAGATGAAGGCAAAACAAAACCATTAAACTCTGAGAAAAGTAGACATGAAAGAAATCATTTTATACTTTAGAACAGTCTTTAAGGACTCTATAATTGCTGAAGAAGCTGCTAGATGTTACTTGTATTAGAGTAACTACAGGACTGTAGTCTTTTCTAGAGCAGTCATACAATAGCAAGCTCCACAACTTTAAGTTTTTACATCTGGGACTTTCAGAACTGAAGTAGTTGCACTGCCTTCTGCAAGATTACCTCTGCAAGATCCTACGAAAACCTAAACTCAGTCCCAGCTGAATACATAATTCTTATGGTGCTTTTAATTCAACTTGAGAGGCCTGTAAGGGAACAAAGGTCACGGCTTAAGTGATGTAAGAGTCAGGTACTAGCAAAAGAAAGCACATCTACAATTGCACAGCATAAGCCTCAAGAGAGAGAGCCGTGCTAGTACTGCATGCTAACAGACCCTATTTCATAATTTTGGGGGTTTTAAAACATTTTGCACGTTCTGCTATTCTCTAAACATTTTTCAATTAAAACAGGCAGCCAAAATCATTGCAGAATCAGTGATGGCTCTGATTTACATCAGCTAAGGGCAGCACCTAAAAGGAGAGTGTTCTCTGAGTAACCTGATGTCTATGCAGCATCCAGCTGTTTCTCCATAGTTCAGCCAATTTGATGAGTGGCAGTCTTGAAGCTGCATGCTTCTCCAGCAACCACCCTTTCCTACCTGAACATGGAGGGTGCTTTCATTTCCATTAATTACCTGCATTCATGCATCATCCACAAATCAATACAAATAAATTCCTGGTTACAAGGGTTATTCCTACAAGCCTCTGAAGAACAGCCTTCTGTGACACCTCGGGTACTTAATACTGACACCAGCTCCTTTGTGTGAGTGTCCAGTGGGATCCCGTAGTTATTAAATCTGACATCCTTCATACATCCTGAGGCAAGACACAAAGAAGCTGTTTTAAAGGCCATTCAGCAAGAATGATTTGAAGCAGCTGTAAGCTTTGGCATAATTTGTGCTTGACAAAGGACCCAGACTACCAAAGCTTAAATCTAGGACTGAATTTATCTAAACCTTCTTATTACTGTGCTCTATTATCTGACTATTTGTAAAAGTTTTTATCAAGATTCCCCATATTTTCTACAAAACCCAAGTGCTGCTGCGGACCTGCATCTGTGTTTTCAATAGAGAATTCCAATTTGCAATTTTGCAACATCTTTCAATGAGTACCACAGTGTACCTTGTGTTTGGATCTCAGTTACAAATGCTCGATATACAGCCATGGGAAGAGGTTACCATCTTGGACTGAAATCTTGTAGCTAACAGTATGCCCACATATTTCTCTGCTATATCTTCTAGTCAGAACAGTTTATTTGTCCCTCTTGCAGAGTCACACAAAAAATCCACTTACTTATTTGTGGGCTCTACACAAATGGGGCATGCCAGTGTAGTATCAATAAAGTTTTATTTTCACAGGTTCATATTCTGAACATCATTAAATCATTAATTCCTTACCTTGAAAACTCTTGTTGAGATCAAACGGGTAGGTGTTTCCAAGGACCAAACTGCTGGGGTCAATCACAATCTCTTTGTATATTCCTGCTGCTTTCAGAATTTCTCTCGTCCCACCTCCTTCATGAAGGCGAAGAGTAAATTCATTTTCATTTCTGTCCAGTGTGATGTGATGCCACTCACCATTATCAATGTTGTACGATGGAAGGCTTACAAAATAGTCTCCATCACCCAGATTATATGAGACTGCTAAGAATCCCCGAACAACCTTATGGATAATTAACAAAGCAGTAGGACAGAAAAGAGAAGTCATCACCTAACAGTTTATATTGATCTGTAACTATCACATTACTTGAACTAAAATATGTACATAGTCATCAATCTTAAATAAATGTAGGGAACATTTACACTGCATGTACTGAGATGATGGCATAATAATGTAAAGTTACTTTAAGTGCTTCTGAACTAGACAACCTAAATACTGGCAGCTGTGTATCCACAATAGTACATAATTAATTCAGAGCAATTTTACCCTGCCTTCTCAGGCAAATTGATAAGGTTCATCAAAAGGTTAAGAATCTGGTGCATCACTTCTACAGTGACAACTTAGCTCAAAAGACAACTCATTCAGTGGTATAAGTGGAACAAGATGTAATTTTCAGAGGCCCGCAGCATTAGATCTGCTTACAGGCAGCTTTCTTGGCAGGGTCTGATCTATGCAGAATCAGCCACTCCTGGCCATGGCTGAGCAGACAGAGCTTTTCTGTATAGCTAACTTCACTTCACTTAAGCAGGCATTAAATTCCTTTGAAATCCAGTGGGATTCCAAAGTGGATTGTAGGGTCAACGCCTTAACCAAAGCCTCAGATCCTTAGGCATCCATAAAAAGAACTCCAGAGGTTTTTGTGCTTAGCATTAGGATTTGAGTTCTATTTCCAACTCTTAGATTAGTTTCTCTGGGCTAAGTATAGGCTGGCATCGATTTAACTTTATGCTATTACTGTCTGGGATGACCTGCTCACCTGCAGGGTTATGTGTTCATCCTTATTTCGAGACAACATGCTTGTGATGACACTGTCAGGCTTCCGTGTCCTAATCATGGCTTCAAACAGCGTCCTGCGGGCAGGCACACTGATGGGAAGCTGATAGCGAATGTGACTTCCTGGCCCAAATGTGTATTCCCTGGCAACTAAAAAGACAGGGATAAAGAACTTTAAACCATTCTGTAGCAAGAAGGAAATGTTACAATTCCCATTATTTTCATAATAAGAGTTGAAAGTAAAAGAAATTATTGTAGTGCAGAGCATAAGATCCACGAGACATAACTTGGCTATGTCCTTTCATCTGTTTCCACAGCTTCCCAGTTGCTCTCCTACTTCATCTTCCCCCATAAAGAGGTGATCTCCCTCCTGACTTAATTTTCCTAATGCTCCTCTTTACAATGGTCAGGATGACAGCAGGAAAGCAGAAGCTCTGACCAAAACAAAAGAAAATACTGCAGATAAAATGCCACAACCAATTTTCACAACCTATTCTACAGTTGTCTTTTTGCTGCAGACTTTGGCTCCATTAAAGAAGGGTCCTGTAACTAAAGCACAGATCCATGAGCCCAGCAGAATCTTTTTTTCAGACATCAACAGAACCATAAACTCCAATTCCAGTTGTGTAGTTCTAATTCTCAGCAATCACTACTTGCAAACATTTTAAGTTTGTATTATGTTTGTATTGTAAAATGAACCTATTGATAATGTAACAGAAAAGCAGACCTCACCTTTATCACATCGATAGCCATAGTAACCAGGCAAGCAATGACAAGCAAAGGAGCCCCAGTCTCCAAGACACCTCCCATGAATACCACAGGAAGAAGAGCCCATGGCCTCACAGCTCCCATCAGTAAGTGTGCAGCCTGGAAAGCTGTTCAGGGACTCTGCGGGAGACTGAAGGTCATATACCTTCAAAAGAAAATGGTATTTACACCTCATTCTTAAATAGAATTAGCTATACCATGTCAGTCTGTTCTTCAGTTGTAGTGTTTAAGACACTGTTTGCTTTTTGACACTGAAATTTTAACTTATTTCAACTGAAGTCCAATTTTTAAATATTAAACACCAAGACTGTAGTTTGCTTTGAATACATTCAACTGAGTATGATAGCAAAAAAAACCCAAACCTTAATATTTCCTAACAAACAACACACCTGGCACAAAGACACCATCAAGCCATTGCCATTCAGAAGTTCCCCGAGTGGGCAAAGCAGCATGAAAAACAGCTGCACAATGTAGGATATAAAGAAAGGCAGAGGTTTGTGGTCTCTAATACATCTGTTCATAATTATGAAACATTTTTTCCGGGTAGCTATTCTAATTATGACAGAAAAATCCAGAATTTTCTTCTATTATACACTGATGCACAAGGGCATTGGATAGAATAATGGAAGCAATAATTTCAGAGGTAATAGAAATTTAGTAAAAATTTAATAATGAAATTTCTTCCTTTGCTAAAGCAAAACATTACTCTTCTCTTACCTGGCTATCCAAGATGAAATTGCGCAAACAACCAGAGAAGTGTTTGTGTAGCAGCTGTGGGTAGGAATATGGCAACGATTCTTTTACACCGCCCAGCTGAAGAACATGGTTCCCATCCAAATACCTTTTGACATGATATGCATCACAAAAGCAAATGTGAAAGTATCATCAAATACATTACATAACAAGACAGTTAAACATCTATACTGCATTTCTGAGGAACGCGGGCTTCCTAAAATAACAGAAGAAGCCAAATATTACCTCCTTCTGACTCCGAAATACAGCTGATCAGTGAGCAGGAACTCTGGCCCT